TTTTGCATAGTTTGCTTTCCACAATAGACTATAGAAAATACTGTATCATATACAATAGACAGAAATGTATACTGCTAATTTTCCAGATAAAGTGCAAATCACGTTCTTAAGATCATTCTTATAACATCGAACACAATAAAGTAATACAATGACGCAAACGTCTGTTTCAAATCAGCATATAGATAGCTTGTTATTAAGCAGTATTTAAATGCAATACAATAAATGATTACAGTAAGGCAGGGTTTCTGAAACAGCGATGCCCAACTTCATAAATGAAAGTGATGAAAAATAAATATATTTAACCGGATTTCACGCGACGTTGTTGGGGACTCTGCACTTATTATTCTAATAAGTTGCACACAGAACAACAAAAAGACATTACAATGACGGATATCAGCGCTGTGGCAAACTAACTATGAGCAATCCATATTTACATATAGACACAGACACATATCTCTAAATCGTCTGGTTTGATCTAAGCATTTGTTACTGCCTAATAGAATGTGTGCTTTGCTTTCTATTGCATGCTACAGACTGCAGATCAGTTTCGTGCCACAGGAGAAAGAAGTTGAGGAGTACAAAGAAGCGAGCATGGAAGCGCTCATTTTTGCACATACTTATTTAAATTAAGGGGGAAATTATATTGTTAAAAAAATCAGGGCCGCGTCTCCCGATAATTATGTATCTAGCTCTGAAAGTGTCTCTCTACATGTGAGGTTATAGGAACATTCGTTTCTACATACGTTTCAGAACGAGTGAGTAGGCGCTTTAAGTGCTAAAGAGTCGCCGTCTGTTCATGAAGAGCTGAAAACCTTATTATGGCCTATAATTTTTGCGTAATGTTAAAATACTCTTTATTTTAACAGCCAGGAAACGTTTTTTTTTTCTCCTCAAATATTCATCGAATTGTCCACATAATTAAATACACATTCTGTGTGCAAACCAACAATCAATTATAATCCACGTTGCCAGTGTTTAATTTTCACCAATTCATTTGTAGTTAGAAATCTAGAGGAGGGCACAATGGCTGTCCTCAAGACATTCCCTAATCAAGCGGTGGTCTACCCTTTACTCTCCCAAAGTGATAACGGTGACAACTATGCTGCAGTGAAGAGAGAGTAGCCTATATATATGGCCGTTTTTCATACATGGCAAGTCATTCAATATCTCCGCTCCTCTCATTACAGTTGTATATATACGGCACAGCGCAGTTGTCATTTCTTTCTTTGTACTAACTACAGGTACGAACGATTTAATCTAATAATTAATTTTAATGTATTGTATTATATCTAACAAATTACACATAATTGAACAATAAACATAATGAAATGAATGATAAAGAATTTAGATATTAAAATCACACTGTAGGTACAAAATGTGTTGGTCTAACATGGAGCAGTTGATTGCATGACGCTGACTCCTTACAAAGCACTTCACAACATTCCGTAATTCTGATTTATTCGTACGATCACTTTTACGATCTATTTAGGCTTACTATTCTTTTAATAAAAGTAGACCAGAAATCGATTTCAACTACATTTCTTCTTTCCGTTTTTTCTGCAGACCGAAGGATTTCACAGATTTGCCTTTTAAACAGGCTTGTTTGTCAGTGAATTACAAAGACATATTCAGATCTAAACTTTTTAATAAATGTATCAACATAAAATAAACACACACTTTACGCTTTCAGGTAGATGGGCAGCATTTCAGATATTGCCTACATGTATTTGAAACACGAATTCGATTTTGTATTTTAAAGTAATAAAAAAATAAATGTAATCTGTATCCAAATACGTTTAAGTTTGGCATTTTGGTATTTTCAAAATAGCCTACATAAAATACTAGTAATGCGCTAGTAAATCTGCTGAATTTCTGTATCAACTTCAAGCCCCTCAAACCCAAAGTCGTGTACTCGAGCTGCAGATGTAGGCTAGGTGAGAACGGCTCCATCTAGCCATTTTCTGCGTTTCTGTAGGAAATATGGTAAAAAAAAATAATCGATTTTTCAATTTCGAAACATTCAGAATCGGAAGTCGATTCCAAAGTTTGGAGAGAGCCTCACTGAAATCAATAGAAACACTAATATTAAAATAATTCGATATCCCAAAAAGCTTGTCCAATTGTTCACAGTAACTTGACTGTTACAACACTGCTGAAAATAGTTCTAAGCACACATAATCTATCACACAGAATTTTCAACAAGAATCGTAAATATTAGTTCGGAATCAGTTTTTGAAAATCTTGGAATTAAACCTGGAAGTCGATCCTGCAATTTCTGAAAGTTAGACAAATGTAATGTATATTGACAAATGTTATTTAACTTCCATTAAACGATTAAACGATAAGCCTACAACTCCTCGTCTCGCAATGCATGCAATCAGCAGCCAGTTATTAGCTAGTCGTATAAACATCGTTTGCGTAATTTCTTATTTCATGGTGGGCCACATTGAGAAAGAAGAGAGGTGAAAATGAATGTTTCTAAGCAGTTGCACATGAAATGTTCCTTCTGAATAGGTCCAGATAAATTTCAGTCTTTTCGTAATTTAATGGCCAATTTTACATGTAGGCCTATTTTGTGCATTTTCAATATTATTTTCCACACACTGTATGGTGTATACTAATGTGACATATTTAAATTGAGGCATTTTGTATTTTTATTTTAAAAACATTTTCATGTATTTGTGACCATCTGCAATTTCAGGTACAACGATTTTAAAATGGGGAGGGGGAGTGGGGGTGAAGATGTTTTCTTTTAGCAGCTCATATTGTTGCTGCTGAATTGAGATTCAGATGTCATGAACTATAGAATAACGAGTCGTGTCAGAGAGAAATAGGGATTGTGCGTTGGTGTGTAGCACTTTGTGAGGGTATGCAGCACTGATGATGATTTGACAGTTCAGGTTATTCTGGATTATCCTCTTCTTGTGGTGGCAATTAATTTTAGATTTCATTTTTACAGATTGATAGACAGTAAAATAGAGACAGAGGAAGAAGTATAACTCAATTTTCTCTATGCAGCAGACACACACTATAGCCAAAAACAAAAGAACAATATCTATCACTTCTAAAAAGGGTGAGGCCAATGCAGCATTTGAGTTGAGTTTGAGCGCCCTCTCCTGGTACTGACTGTTATCATATCTGGTAGGATAATAGGAGAGTAGGTAAGAGGAAGAGAATACATTAGTTTTATTTGCTAATCCACATCAAACAGAATAACATTATTAATTACATCAGTTCATTAAAGTTAATCTTCAGGAATTATTTATTTTTTAAATTTTGTTTAAACATCATTCACATAA